GTGGGTTTAGATCAGTTGACATCAGAGCTTTGACTCTAAAATCAAGGTTATATCTTTATGTTTCCGCATTTTTTTTCATCTTCTTCGTTGAGGTTTCATCTTTTCCATTGAGTCTCCATCATTTTCTTGACTCTTCATCATCTTCTTGAGTCTTTTACATCAACATAAATACCAAGAACATTATATAATTGTTTTGTGTATTAAATTTAGTGTACCAATGCAGTTTGTTTCGATCTTTCTTGAATTTGTTGATTTCCTCATTTTAGTGTAAAAAAAAGGGGAAAAAAAAATCCAGCAAAAAGAAAAAGAAAATTCCAAGCCAAAAAGAGGCTTATTCGATTTCAAGAAACACTTTCTTGAAAATTCTTGAAGAGCAATTTCTTTCAAGAAATCAATTTAATACCTAAATCATCTATTGGTATCAATATTGTTACGAAAAAGGTGAAAATCGAATTCAATTAACACTTTCTTGAATTTGTTATTGGTGTCTCTATTTAATTTTCCATTCCTTCTTTTCTTGATTCTTTCAAAAGTCTAATTACTTCTTAAATTCGATATTAGAAGTAGAGTTCAGGGCTATTCTTGATGGGATTCCACTAGCTAGAGGACTCGATCTTTCAAATAGTTTGATTGAGTCAGATTCTATAGTGGCTATTCACTTCATCACTAGACTCAAACAGGACAAACATCGTATCATTTGACAGAGACATAGTTTTCAACATCTGAAGAGAGGGAATCAGATTGCATATGCTCTTGGCAAAGGGTTGGGATCATCGGCGATATCATATATACGGAGCAACTGACCTACCACGACATAATAGGGCACTCGTAGACATGGACTGCAAGTATTAGAGTATGATTTTTTATTCTTGCTTTTGTCTTTTCTTGCATTAGTTTTTATTGTAAGAGAAGTGAAACTTCATTTCTTATAGCTTTACATTTATCTCTTATCATTTATTTTCTTTATAAAGGAAGTAGTACTTCCTCATTTATTGTTTTCATCATTTTATCATGTAACGATGGTATTCCTCCTCCACAAGTGAGGGCATATTAATAAAATCTCGGTGGTACCGCCCTCCTTTAACCAATAAAAAATCCTTCTACAATCCTTTGTTTGGTGAACTCTTTGGATTGAGATTGAATTAGTTCCTTAAAACACTTGCAAGAAAGCATTGAGACGAATACGATAGAGTGGTGAGATTATTAGAAGTAAAAAGTTAAATTGAGTGATACACAAGTGCAAACGCGTGAGGAAAATATTATTCTAGTTCTTAGGATGTCGGCAAAAAAAAAGAAGATCTACATCTATGGGAGGAGAATAATCAATTCTTCATGGAAATGTAACAAAATTTTGAGAGGATGGATGTGATGTGTCGGGAATTTAAGGATAGATTGGATAGGAACAATACATTGATTACAAAAGTACAAAGGGGGCAACCTAGAAAAGTTCATGATGTTAAGTGGCAAAATAGGCTTTATCCTAGTGCTAAAATTGATCAAATGTCGGTAGTTGAAATTGATTGAAGAAATCCTAGAGACTTTGATGGAGTAGAGTACCCATTGGTAGATAAATCACTTGTTACGAAGCGTAGTGAGTTTGATTATTTGATGGAAAGTTTCAAATTTCACAATATGATTATTTCTCAAACAATTAATCATATGGACAATCTATTGAGGAAAAAAATAGAGAGTAAAAGAGAAAATAGAGAGGTGGCTGAAAATCATGAAAAAAAGAATAGAGCCACAAGAAAAGAAAGAAAGAGAGTCATTAGAGAGAAAAGAAAAGTCAAAATTGAGCTTCTATGAAAAGAGAGTGAAATTGAAAGGGCTTTAGTGAGAACTAACAAACCCTTTTCTAATTTGGCAATTTCTTTAGTGTAGGGTTTCGATGACTTGGTTCACGAGGACATGCCTATTGGATTACCACCCATTCCTCAATTAGGTTTTTATCTATTCTCTATAAATAGGATTCATTCTTTTCTTCATATAAAACACACATTATTATTGAGAGATTAAATCAAAGCAAGGTTGCTTTCTTCTTGTTCTTCGTTGAACTTATCAAATATTTCATGTTTGTGGTGTTCAACAATTTCATAGCAAGGTTCATATTTTTTGTGATTAAGGGGTCAACTTCCTTTATGACATTGGTTATTTGATTCAATAAATTATTGAGTTAAGCTTCAAACTGGGATTTTAGCTTTCTCAGGTTGTGGTTCAATTTTTTGTGGGTTCGGAGCTACTATTGCTACGTGGGTTCATATCAAGAAATTACGTTGATCAGAAAAGAAGATTAAGACCTGGTATTGGAGATGCTGAAGCAATTCATAACTATTTTGTTCGGATGCAAGCAAAGAATTCAAGTTTTTTTTATACGATGGATGTAGATGACAATGCTTGAATTAGAAGCTTATTTTGGGATGTGCAAGGGGTAGCTTATGAATATTTTGGCAATGTGGTTACATTTGATACAACCTACTGGACAAATAACTACGACATACCTTTTGCACCTTTTCTAGATGTGAACCAACATGGGCATTCAATTTTATTTGAATGTGGATTACTATCGAATGACGACACTACAACATTTATTTGGTTGTTTGGTACTTGGCAAGCATGTATGTCTGGGTGTGTACCGAGTGCCATAATTACAGATCAAGATAAAGCAATGTATAAAGCAATTGAGATTGTGTTTCCTAACACTCCACATTGTTGATGTCTATGACATGTAATGAGAAAGGTACCAGAAAAGTTAAGGGGCTATAAGTTGTACGGAAAAAATAAAAAATGCCTTGCATGATGTTGTTTTTGAATGTTTGGAGTATGAAGAATTTGAAGGAAAATGGGAGCATTTCATTAGTGAGTTCAATCATTGTGAAAATATATGGTTAAGCAATTTGTATAAAGATAGGCATCGTTGGGTTTCAGAATTGGTAAAGGACACAATTCGGACTGGTAGGCATACCACATAACGAATCGAGAGTATGAATGCATTCTTTGATGATTACGTAAACTCAAAGCAGCATTGAAAAAATTTAACGAGAAATATGATAATGCTTTATGAAGAAAGATTGAAAAGGAAAATCGCGAAGATTTTCAAACTTTTGCTACAAGGATTCTGTTTGTTGCACATTATGAAATAGAAAAACAATTTTAAAATCTATACACTAATTCAAAGTTCAAAGAATTTGAGTTGACAGGGAATTATATTGTGAAGTCTCTTGTGTTGATGAGAAAAATGGGTTATTTGATGTGGTTGAGGATATATTGGTTGGAGATAGACATAAAAGAGTTCATTCCACAATTTGTTGCTATGGAAAGGAAAATGAGGTCAAATGTGCTTGTCGATTATTTGAATTTAGAGGGATTTTATGCAAGCATATTTTATCGTTCATTTTGAAATTAGATAAATAAAAAGTTTTAGAAAATACAATTTAGCACATTGGAGAAAAGACTTAAAAAGAAATCACATAAGGGTGAAAGTTACTTATGATGATTGGAAATGTGACATCGAGGCTTAATGTCATCACAAGTTGTAAAAGAAATTAGATGATTTTGCTAACTTGGCTGTTAGTTCTCATAAGAACTATGCTATATTGTGCAACATGACGGAGGAATTTTATAAAGAATAAGGGATAAGTGTATTTTGTACATTTATCTAGGCTATGAAATTAGAGTATTTGTCAATGTTCTAAAATGCGTAATGCGTTGCGATGCGTCGAGTCCGAGAATCAAGAATCACAAGTTTAGGCGTGTCAATGCGAAGAATTAGCGTCATAATGCGTTTCGTATTTTTAAGGCATTAAATATATTTTTATATAAAAAAATAGATTTTTTACCAAAAAAAAAAAAAGGCGGCATAATGAACGCCTAGGCGGCATAATGCGCGCATTGCGCCGCCTTTTAGATGGAAAAGCATTTTCCCGCGCATTCCCGAATTCGACGCGTTTTGGCCGCGCGTCGTGCCTAGGCGGCGCATTTTTGCGAGTTTTAGAACACTGGTATTTGTTAGTGATTTGGATGAGTTGTAGCTTAATTTTGTGTAAATTATGTTTGTTAGGTTAAACTCAATGCAAATTGGTGGATTTGGAAAAAGGAACGAAAAACGTGCGAAAACGAAGGAAATTCAAAGTTTGGGGACCAAAGTGTAAATGTCCAATAGTCAATTCGGAGCACAAAACCATGATTGAACATCATATAGGATCAATTGGATGCAATTGGAGGTTAAATGAGTGAAATATAGTGGAAGTATTTTTACAAATCAATTTCCAGCCGAAGAAGTTATGCTCCAGATTTTTAGCTTCAACTTGAGACCCATTTTTAGGATAGAAAACGTTTGAATTAGAAAAATTGTATCTCTAAAAGAATTGTATCCCTTGGAATTAAATTTCCAACGCATTTTGAATCAGCTCAATCGGATATCTGTAGAGAAAGTTATGACCACAATACCGAACGCTGCTTAGAGACAAACCTGCGCGCACAAAGGCAATACATGGCGCGTTCGCGACAGCCTATTTTCCCCAACCCGAGAGCCATTTGGTTCTATGGAGTGTGCGTGGTGTAGTTATACCGATGTGCGCGCACAGACCTTTTCCTCAGACAAATCTTTAGTTTCCTTTCGCGATTCAAACTCTTTTGGAAACCAAATTGACACGATTTTGACATATTTTTTGACTCTTGTAAATAGAGAACGAGGGATACACATTGAAGAAACCACTCTTACCTCTTCATACAAAATATTATCATCAAATTCATCAAAAACAAGATGCTAATTACTATATTTTGAGAGATGAGATCGAGCCCTGGTATGGAATTGAAGGTCAATTACATCAAGATTTTGAAGAATTCAACCTTGGGATTGAAGATCGACATCTTTTGATTTATTTCATGATCCGGTTTCAAATAATATTCTGGCCCATTTAAATGAATCCATCACATTCCAACCCAGCAACCCACAAAAGAAAAATTGAAAAAAAACAAAAACAAAAACAAAAGGAACGAAATCACTTCAGAAGCCCTAATCGCTCGCCCCAAATCCCTCTCCCTCCCGACTCACCACCGCCACCAGAACCTCCCAATTCCTCTGGACCATCGTCTCCCGCCGGAGCTTCACAACTCCGAGGCTGCAATGGCTCAATCTAAGCCCATACCACTAGAGATCAAAGGTGTGGATTTCGTCTCCGGATGGAGGGAGGTAGCGTCTCTAGACTTACTTCTTCTGGTACTATTCATTACCTTCAGTCACTTCGTCTACGCGTATGCATTCGTAAATATTGAGTCTAAAATTCGGTTAAAAAATTTGGGCCCCTTTTTGTGTATTACTGAATGGCATATTTGTAATAAATTTAGTAGGCTGATTTCGGATTGTGTTTAAGAGATACTTCTTCTCTTTTCTTTAAAAGATTTCCAATGATTGAAGTTTACATAATTATTTCACCCTAGATTTTTTCTCTCCCGGTTTTCTCGCTGTTTTTAATAGAACCCCAATTCTTCAATTCTGTCTACTCATATGTTGGTTGAAAGCAGCGGTGACTTGAAGTTAAAAACTTGGTCTTGTTCGTATATTCGTATCCAAATGGTGAGTTGTGTTGGGGAACGACATTTTCCCTGTGATTTGAATGAAAGGTAGATGTTTTGAGTATTTATGGTTGGAAAAAAAAAATTCGAGTATTTACTTTAGTTGTTCAGAGAAGACGGTTTTTAATCTTCCATTGAATTTGGTTTTAGTTTTCCAGCTATTATTTTTAACCTTCAGTTGATTTGGTTTTTGCTTATAAGTTAATTTTCCGGTAACTTAAGACTAAATATTTGTGCTGTGCTTGTCTTTGATTATTATCTTGGGATATTATGTTGTTTTGTTCTGTGTTAGGTTGTGTGCAGAACACAGACTTCCCCTTATGGGAGGATGGAGTTCTTTGTTGGCTTACTGAATATGTGGATTTGTTACATACAAGATTTTGTCTACATTTGAGATGATGAGACAACCTATTGAACACTTTCAATATCTCTCATCAGTAATTTATGATCCTAGACTCTGCCCTTCCATTAAAAGCTTTGATTTTTTATCTAGTGTGATGCTAACATGCACAATCTTTTTCCACACTACTGCTAATGGTGTCTCTATCTTAGATTAATTTGCTCAAGTTGTTTTATATGTGGTTTTTTGGAACTTCATTAGTTATATAAATTTTTGGTTTATTTTACGTCGTAATAGTGGATATAACATAAGACGAATGAGATGCATGAATACCTCTTGTTTTTGAGAAGAACATACTAATTTTTCTTTATTCCTCCAATATATTTTGTATCACTAATTTAATTTTGATTTTGCAGACACATCCGACGCAAACCTGTTTTATGTCTTCAGTTGATTTGAACACTCATTACTCTTATCACGTAATAAGAAATGTGTTGTATTTTCTATAGGTTGCATTTTATATGAGGGTAATGGAGGAGTTGGGAAGGGAATGGATAATTTAAAACTCTATATGGAACGAGTAGGGGGAGGAAAAGGAAGGGCCAATAAGTAGCACGATAACTTTTTGCTTGGAATGACTTGTCCGTGCGCTTGCCTCCCTCTCATAGTCTAATTTACTTTGTCTCGACATAAACTATTGAGGCCAAAATAGCAAGTGTTGCTATTGATTTAGATGGATTATGTATTATTATCTAAAGTCAGGCCTGGACATGACTTCCAGTTCATTGGATATTGACATTTATGGGATGAAAAGTTTGTTAGAAGGAAACAAACACGACAGAACACAGAAAAGATGCAGTGTTCTTCAATTCATCATCTTCTTCGATATTGGAAATAAATTAATCCTACTTTAATCCTTTTTCCCTATCTAGCTGGATTTTTGCCTTGTACGGAAATACAGATGGATTATAATGACAATGATTATGAAGGCCATAATCTTCATTTAGTTGGTGAAGAGAGTTCCACAGTATCTTCTAATCTGTGTCCATATGCTCTTCCTAAATTCCGAATAGTGTTTTATATTTTTATCATCATTAAATCCATAATTGAAAACTCTACTTTCAACATCGATAACAATTGGCTAAAAGCCTAAAATTCAACTTGACTAATAAAGTGTGTTTATAAGTGTGTTTTCACATTGATTATAAGTATATTTATCATTTTTAATGCTTGACCTTATAAATAGCACAAAATTTGAATTTTGGCCTCTGCGGTCGAGGATGACGACGACGATGATGTGGATTTGTTTGGTGAGGAGACTGAGGAAGAGAAGAAGGCTGCTGAAAAACGTGATGTAGCCGTGAAGGCATCTGGAAATAAGAAAGAGAGTGGCTTCTGTGTTCCGTTTATGATCGAGTTTTCCCATTATTTTTTTTATTTCATTTTGAAGTTTCTTTTTATTTAAGTGATGTTGTATCACATTCTAATGTTCAAGTGTATGGATTCAAAAATTTGTAATGAAATTATCAATTTTTATGCAATTCCAAAATTCATAAGGTGTATTTTCAATTTTGCCAATCAATTTGCATATATTGCTTTAAAAAAAAAAATCCTACGACAACGTTCAAAAAACGTTGTGAAAGATAGTCTTTCGCAACGTTCAGAAAATGTTGCCATAGACCTTTCGCAACGTTTTTTGACAATTGGTATCAGAGCAATTCTGGTATCTTGTTTGTCCCATAACAAGTGGGTAGTTAATTAGTAATTGTATTTTTTAGATTGGGATTTTTAGTTTTATGGAGGATTTTGCTTTTTTATCTTTTTCTAAGTGCTTGCCTTATAAAACTTTGCTATTTTTAACTAGTCAAACTTTATTTTTAACCACATATTTTAAGGAACTCACAATTTCGTTTATCAATTTTTAACCACATATTCATCACTTTTTATCAAAATTTGCTAAAACTTTTATCAAAACTTCTTGAAACTACCCTTATGTTAGGAAGCCGGTGAATTTATCTCTTGTTAGAGATTTTTCCACTCTAAATTCGATGTACTTATTTTATATCATTATTGCTTTACACTTTACACTTTGTACTTGATGAATTATGCAATCTAAAATTATCTACAAAAACAAATAAAGAAGTTTAATTCCAACTGATTCATGCACATTCATATTACTTGTATAATTTACTGTCATATACCATAAACCACGAATTAACTTAAAAAATAAAGGAAAAATACAAAAATAAAAATTTATTTTTTGAAGAATGCTTGCTTAAAAAGTAGGAAAGGTTTGCGAGTTAATGTACAAAATTATTTTATTAGGAGAATGTTTGATTGAAAATGAATTTGAACAAAAATGATTTCAAATAAATTGTGTTAAACAAATACTTAATATTCTATCTTTTAAAAATAAACCACATCCGTATTTCTTGATTTTTTAAATTGTCTTGTCATTAAACTTGGTAATGCACATTGGTTCACATAGCATGGATACATCATAGAATCAACATTACGTTGGTGTTATATGTAATATTCAGTTTCCAATGAGAACATCATATGTACTATAACATGAATATCCCAGGTTATTGATGTTACAACGAATCTCAGGTTTGTAAAATTGTATAGTATCACATGCTATATTCTTTTCAGTGTGAAAGTAGCTTTTATAATTTATATCATAATATGTAGTGTTTCTAATGTTTAAAAAAGAGCATAATATTTCTAGAATTGTTATACAAAACGAAAAATTCACACAAAACAAAATAAGATAAAATAGACAAGATACAATTGTGCTGGACAAGCCCACGACAAACAATCATATAACTGGGGGCATTATACTCCTAAACACTTCTTACAACACAGGCTTAAATTGCTTGCTATATCTAAGGGATGTAAATTTGGGGACAGGGTGTGGGGAATGGGCGTATGAAAAATTCGTTTAAAATCACCTCTAGCCCAACTTAACGGATCACCCATGCCCAATTTTCAAATTATCCTAGAATTTAAAATAAAATAAAAGTGAAATTAAAAATAAAATTAAAATTAAAATTAATATATAAATTGGATAGTAAACATGATGGGAGGTTGTCCCATCTCGTCCCACACCTCTTTAAGCGGGGATTGAGGCAGGGATAGGGCAATAAAATCCTCTGCGAGGCTGGGACGAGGGCCTTTGCCTTCCAAAGCTATATCCAATACATATTGGCAAAGTTTATGGGGCTTTGAGATCATTGCCATGTGGTCAGGGTCTTTAATCTCTTTCACTATTGCTGCTCTAGCATTTTCAATTAACCAGCGTTGAAACTCTACTTTCCATACCTTTCATCTGAAAACGCACTCTACTTTGACAAATCTTCCAAAAAAGCGCAGCCTGGCCTCATCAACACTTTTGCTAACACCACATCCTACCATAATGGATTGAAAATACTTGTTGGCCACTCAAGGTAAAGATATCACTCAACTTTTCCTTAGTTATAAAGTTCTCATTAAACTTTAAATTTCTACATTTTTATTTCAGGCATGTAATTTTCTAAGTTAATGGAAATTCAACTTGAAAAACCTGGTAGTGCACTGATTTTATCATCATGATTCATAAAAACCATAAAAAATAATCTTTCAATTTGCCTCAATTTTTTTTTTATAAAAAAAAATATTTTCTATTTCTAACCGTTGGTTCCACTCTATATTATTTGTTACCTCAGAAGGGCATAGTTGATATAGCTTGGATGATGTGTACTGTGGACCAAAGAGCATTGCTACGAGATGATCTTCGGGTTTACCAAATGGAATGATTTGATTGTCCATAGAATCTTCATCCGAGGAATATTCCATACACTACCAAACAGGTTAATGAAAAAAAAAATTAAATGAAATTTATCAACAAAAAGAAAATCACTTTATTTTCTCAAATAAATTTGCTTCAAAATAATTTATGTCATCTTTGTCTTCTTTAGTTTTTTTTGTAAAAATAAATAATGTTATTTCTAGATACTTGTTAATCTTTTTGGGATGGTTAAAGCCTGAAATTGTGTTAATATTTTTGTTGAACAAAGTTCGCAATATAATTTCTAATAAAAAATGTTGAATTAAAGGCTTTCTTTGAATTTCATAAATTTCCACATTTTATTAAAACAAGTGAAAACAAATTAAGAACCCTGTTTGATAATCGTTTTTTTCAAAAGTCATGTTTCTACGTACTCATTTCCAATCACACATTCACAAAATAAAATATTCTACACGTGAACTCAAATTTTTTTCTTACTATTTAACTACATATTCTTTTAAAAATCACTATTCAAAACATAGTTTCCCTCAATAATGGTTGTCAAATAGCGGCTAAGTGTCATTGTTTTTTGAATTTTCGACATGTTTCCTAGTTTACAAATAATTTCGATTTTCAAAACATGAAAATTAATGACTCAAAAACTCTCGTGTAACTTAGACCACTGCAAGTCTACAACTCCCAACATCAATTATATTCTCTTCGTAGACCTTTCAAACTCATCGAGTGTACTAAATATTTGTTCCTTGTTTGGTGATTAGAGTAAACTCAATGATCATGTTTGGCGAGTAGCACAAAATTTTAATTCCATTTTGTTCCTTAAAAATTTCAATTGTAGGATAATAAACTATTTCTAAGTGCAGACAAATTTTACCTGTTCAAGAAAATAGCTTGGCCTATGTACAGTATCAGGCATGATAGCCGTAATAAAAACAGCAACAGAAATCTTGTGAGGATATTTCTCCATTGCGAAAGCCATGTTCATGCCACCAAGACTATGCCCAACTAGGACTACCTTTTCGTATGGTGGAATCGACTCCATTACCTCGAATAATGGCTGTGTATAATCGGAAAATGTGCAAAGCTCATCTAGTTTTTTCGGGTTGATGCCGGAGGCTGCAAGGTCAATCGCCGTGACGCGGTGGCCCTCCGCCTCCAGCAGGGATTGTAGCCTGTACCAGCACCAAGCTCCATGGCAAACACCATGTACTAGAACAAAATGCTTTTGTTGCTTTTTACCTTCCATTTTTCTTTTGCTTAATTAGTATATTTCTTATATA